GAGCCCTCAGAAATGAGATAAGTGCCCTTATAAAAGAGATCCCTGAGTGCCCTTGCCCTTCAACCATATGAGAATACAGGGAGAAGACAGCTGTCTATGAACCAGGAAGTGGGCCCTTGCCAGACACCAAATCACGCTGTCACAAGGATCTCAGACTTCCAGCCTCCATAACTGTGAGAAATAAAGCTGTTGAGTATAAGCCACCCAGTCTGTGGCAATTTATTATAGCAGCCACAAGTCACCAACACAAATCTCTTTTATAGGATGTCCCAAAGTTCACACAAGACTTGCAATTCAATTCAATTGCAAATCTTGCGTGAATGTTGGGACACCTTATATTATACTAGAGGCCCAGCAGGCACAAAATTGTGCAGGTAGCTCACTTCCGCTTGCCCCAGCTGTCCGCACTGCTCATTACCGCTAGTCGCTCACCCCCGCATCTCCCTCAACCCCCGACCCTGGAGAGAGAGTCGCTGCTCATTTGGTCGTGACAAGGTTACCTGGAGAGAGAGTCGCTGCTCATTTGGTCGTGACAAGGTTACAGCGTGACGGCCATGGGCCTTTTATATGAGAGATTATACACACAAAGCATATTTCAATTCCATATTTCCCATGTCCCACACATATTCTACACACACCACACTCATACACATCTCTGGCCCTTGCTTCCAAAAACAATTCCTCTCTCCCTCCAGGACACCCGAGGCCCCATCTGGCAAAACCAGTCAGCCCCTGCCTCCTTAACCCCTCTCAGCTCTAGGCAGATGCATTTGACCTGCAAGGTCATCCCCACCCAGGACTAGAACCATGACCATGGAAACCAAGATATGAGCTCAATTAACCCTACCCCACTAGCAGGGGTGGGAGGAAGATTCTGTAGTGAGCTGTATTGTCTTAAGCTCAGAATCTAGGGTGCCTGGGGAAAGGCCTTGGCATGTTCATGACTCCCTACTATGGACTCCCCAGCTTGAGCACAGAACTATTGATTTGACTTCTACCAGCCAACAGTTTGCAGTGGCCCTGGAGCCTGGCCAGAAGAGTTGCTGGTAGGTTTGGGTCTCTGGCCCCTGATAGACCCTTATCCTCAGGGGGCATGGACAGGATCCTATCCCCTTTCTCCTAGTAGCTGACAAGCTTCCCATTCCAGGTCATACAGACCATCCAGCTCCTTAAGCTGCCATAAGTTACCAGCAACGCTGAGGACGCTTGTCACCACTTTCCACCTATTAGGCGATCCACCCTGGCTTAGGGACCTAGTCTGAACTGCTGACTCTGAGGCTGAAGTAGGAAAAACTGAGCTTTCTCTCCTTCCCCATTGGCCCCCACCTTGGCCTAGACCAGTGAGGGCGAACCTTTTGAGCTTGGTGTGCCAGCATTTTGAAAAGCCCTAACTTAACTCTGGTGCCGTGTCATATATAGAAATTTTTTGATATTTGCAACCATAGTAAAACAAAGACGTGTATTTTTGATATTTATTTTATATATTTAAATGCCATTTAACAAAGAAAAATCAACCAAAAAAATGAGTTCGCATGTCATAGGTTCACCATCACTGGCCTAGACTAACTGGGAACCTGAGTGTTACGTTATACCCCCACAAGGTGAAGAGTAATGGAAATGTTTAGAGGATGCTTACCTATCCAAGACATGGGGAAGTTGGACCTGCAGGAGGTGGGCAAGGATATGTGTCTTATCACACATTGGCAGGTGACCACATTGTGTTCAAGCCTCAAACAGCTGGTTTTATTAAATGTGCCGTCCTCATTCTTGATGGCTGGACCATTGGTGATGCCTTCAGAAATCTCCTGGCCCTGGGGATTCTCCTGGGTATATATATACCATGTTATGTTAATGTCCTTTGGGTAGAACCCACTTGCCTTACACAAAATATATTTGTCACCATCATCTTTCGTCGTGGCTTGTTCTTGAAACAAGGTGCACTTTGGGGAAGCTGCCAGGGAAGAGAAGTCATGATTTGAGGGTAGGTTGGGACTAGCTTATTATCAGTTCAAAGCCTGACCAATAGCAAGCCTTCAGGAAGGTTGAGTGAGTGAATGAGATTGTGCTTAGCCTAAGTAATCTGGGTATGCTAATCTCACTGCCAGGGTGACGTTGATAAACCATGATCCCGACTCTCACAGCCATTATGTAAAGCAGATTTTCTTAAGCCACTTGGTGTCATAGACACCTTTCTTTGAGAATGGGAGGAAAGCTCTGGAGGACTGTTGTGGTAGAAACTGATGTCCATTCTTCAATGACACATCCAAGTTAAAGTTACATCTCCCAACCTCCACTTCAGCTGGTGAACTCAGGGTCTACTAGTTCAGATAGAATCAGAAGTAGCGAGAGCAACCTCAAGGAAATACCCTTAAAGAACAAGGGTATCTTAAAGAAAAGTACTATGGCCTTCTCTCCCTCTCCCCTTCATCCTTCCTGGAGAACACCTGGAAGACCATGTCATGGTTCAAGATGGAGAAGCCATTTCCAAACACAAGGTGAAAACTACATGTTCAGGATGCCAAAGTGGATAGATAAAAGGATTCTGGGTCCCACATGAGAGAGCAGATAGAAAATTCAAAATAACTATGATTAAAATGTTAAGGACACTAATGAAAAAAGCAGACAACATGCAAGAACAGATGGATAATGTGAGCAGAGAAATGGACATTCTCTAAGAAAGAATCAAAAGGAAATCCTAGAAACCAAAAACACTATAAAAGAAATGAGGAATGCCCTAGCTGGTTTGGCTCAGTGGACAGAGCGTCGGCCTGCGGACTGAAGGGTCCCAGGTTCTATTCCTGTCAAGGGCATGTACCTTGGTTGCGGGCACATCCCCAGTTGCGGG